TCAACCCGCGCGCGCGCGCACACTCGCATATTTTAATTTGTTCATTTTAATTTGAATAGCTAATTTCATAACTTTAATAGGCCTTTACTCTGCACTGTTACTTTGCCGTTTTACGTTTAATTTCATACTGATTGGTTTCATTTGTTAACACTGCTGTGCTGTTGTTTTACATTGTATAATTTTTTTTTTTTAGTAATGTTAGTAGGCTAAAGAAAACTAAAACTGAAATTATAGAGTGGAAAAGCAGAAATGAGGTAAAAACACTGAACACATGCCCCCTGTGTCTCTATGCTAGCCACTTCAAATCATTTGAAGTTAAGTTATGAAATAAATAAGAATGACCTGTTGACACATATTTACGTGGAATGTGTTCATGTGCTGTAGCCTACTGTTCTCCTGCATCCAAGTGAAATTACTTTCAGTTGCTGGTCCCCACTGACTTCCATAGTATGGAGGGGGGAAAAAACACTATGCAAGTCAATGGGGACCAGCAACTGAAGGTGAACTATCATTTTAGTGACAATGTTGTCCCCTCTAGTGGAGGAGAATGGCATTGCATCCCGCAGCACAACATATCTACATGATTTCTGAAGCCATTCGTAGTGATGAATCTTTTACAATGCAATGAGCTGATATCTAACATACGGACTGTATATTTTAAAAGTGCCCTCTCACTCTGCATATAATGCTCAAAAAGAGTATTACCCACACCAATTAAGATCTTATTAGATTGAACTGAAATTCTGAAAAATTGGAATTTTAGCTTATCCAGAATAGTATTTGCTTCTAAGAAGATTCTTCTTTGACTGGTTCCAAATTATTATAGATCTTAATGATTGCACTCCTTTTGGATCCCTTGAGTCAGAAGTGGAACAATGTGCAGTTTGCCATCATATGTGTTTTGGTTCCATGCTTTGAATATTCCATCTCAAAGGTTTGTTTTTAATGAGTTAGATTCAAATAAAGGTTTTAATGAGGATGGAATGTGCTGTATGTAATCCCCTGACATAATCTGTTTGTGGGCCTACCTCTCTCTCCTTCTTTCTTACACCAATCACATGATTACGATCAAGCCCCCTTTCGAGGCTAGGCTAAATAAATACACAGAGGAAGTACAATTCTGGGCTAAAGTTCGATTTCTGTGCTAGTCAACACTTTTAAAACGAGAAAAATACTATGAAAACGTAGGTGAGGGACTTTGCTTACTCGTGGCAATACACTTTTACAAGGCTGCCTGCCAGATCAGGAATAAAAACTGCACTGTTTGGGTATTCTTTCACATTGCAAAACTTCCCTTGAGGACAACGCTAAACACCAGGTACAGTGTCTCATTTTACTTGTCTGCATGCTTCGGAATGTTCCATTTTGAAGAAACATTTAAGTCAATGGACATATCATTAAAACAGAAAATAGAAACTGTTGCACAATGCCATTCAAAACAATGCACACTTGCAGTCTTTTTTATGCAATGAGTTACACATTTAAACATTTTTGTGCAAATCACTAAATTGCTACCACTGTGCAACCTATTTAACCAGTACACAGATTTGGATGCTCAAGCCATTGGTATGCAAAAGTTTAACCTCAGATGAATAACCTTTACATAACGCATCTATTTAGCATACATGTCAGGGACATATATTTGTGTTAGTTACATGATCTGTGTACTCTAGTACCTTTAGTTACTCTCGTTCAAACTGTGAACTCTTAAAACTGTACATTGTGATTGTGAGATTGTGTAGTAGTGCCAGGTCAATGTGCAGTGATTATCTCAGATAGTGTAAAGGGGGCAGCCCACTGGCAAATGACAGATGAGAGAAACAAAAAACAATGTAAATAAAAAATGAGATAGTGATGTCAGTTTGTAATCATATATGGTACGGGTATAATACTCATATTATAACTACAATATTATCAAAAAAGAGTTAACATATTATACTACACTGTCTTCTTTCTGTAATCATACTAATCTGTCCATTTATTTGGGCTTACAAAATAGCAAATTAAGAATCAAAAGGATGTTTGTACATGATTTTGAATAAGCGTTTTCAGTATTTTAAAGCAATGATCATTCTTAAAGGGAAAATAAAATAAAAAAACTGACATGATTAACTTACCCTCATGTCATTCTGAACTTGTATGACTTTCTTCTCCAGAACACACAATATATATATATATATATATATATATATATTTATATTTTAGGGCTGGGTAAAAAATATCGATTTCTCGATATTAATCGATTCTCATTTTTACGGAATGGTATCCTGATAAATCTGCAAAAATGTCAACAATTCTGTGTTTTTCTGTCAATATGGGGTGCTGTGTGTACATTAATGAGGAAAAAAAATTAACTTAAATGATTTTAGCAAATGGCTGCAATATAACAAAGAGTGAAAAATTTAAGGGGGTCTGAATACTTTCCGTACCCACTGTATATCCAAAATAATCGATATTGAATCGAATCGAATTGGTAATCGAATCGAATCGCAAGCTTGTGAATGAGAATCGAATCGAATCGAATCGTGAAATTTGTGTCAAAACCCAGCCCTATATATATATATTAAAAAGTCCAAGAGGTCCAAACAACATTGGACCAATATTGGTTTCCAATTTACACCTTTTCTATTGGCCATATTTTGATTATCTACAAATGCAAAAAGTCAAGACCTGCATTGTCCCCAAATCAAAATGAATGCCTAATCAAGTATATATTTTCAGACAATGCTGCTGCATCCCCACATCTTTGCCCTTGTTGCCTTCCTTTGGAGTGTCCCACCACCTTCCCTGGCTGGGAAGATCCTAGTATACCCAGTGGATGGAAGCCACTGGCTTAACATGGACATTTTGCTGCGAGAACTTCATCAGCAAGGTCATAAACTGACAGTTGTCCGTTCTGCTAACAGCTGGTACATCCCAGAGAACACCACACACTATACGCCCATCACCATCCATGCCGATCATCTCACTAGCCTGGAGGACCCCGAGTACATGGCGTCCTTTCTTAAGAGAAACATTGACATTCAAAGAGGGGAAGGATCTGTTTGGTCATTCATGGCCCTGCAGAAAGAAGTAATTACTCTTCTAGAAGAGTCTCACAAGTCTTCTGCTGAGATGGTGAGGACCATTCTAGAGGATAAAAAGCTTGTAAAAACACTTAAAGAGTCCAAGTATGATTTGATGCTAACTGATCCTGGTTTTGCAGGAGGTGTCATACTGGGCACGTATTTGGGTCTACCAATGGTGTTCAATGTACGATGGATAACAAATGGAGAAGGGCACTTTGCAATTGCACCCTCGCCACTTTCTTACATCCCAACTATCGGATCTAGAGTGACAGATAAAATGAGTTTTGCAAATAAAATAAAAAATATCTTACATTTTGGAATCGGCCAATACATAGACCACTTGATCACAAGGCCTCTTTATCAAGGAGTTATCAGCAAATACATAGACCCAAACTCCAATGTGTACTCTCTGATCCAAGGAGCGGATCTGTGGCTCATGCGAGTCGATTTTGTATTCGAGTTCCCTCGACCTACTATGCCCAATGTGGTCTACATTGGTGGCTTCCAGTGCAAACCATCCAAACCTCTACCAAATGAATTGGAGAAGTTTGTCGAGAGTTCTGGAGAGCACGGGGTGGTGATCATGTCTTTGGGTACTCTGCTTGGAAGTCTGGGTCCTGACATATCCGAAGTCGTAGCCTCTGCTTTTGCTCGCTTGCCACAAAAGGTGATTTGGAGGCATGTAGGAGAAAAGCCATCTAAATTGTGGAACAATACACTGATAGTAGACTGGCTGCCTCAGAATGACCTCTTGGCCCATTCTAAAACTAAAGCTTTCGTGACACACGGAGGAACGAATGGAATCTACGAGGCGATTTACCACGGCGTTCCAATGCTCGGACTTCCGCTCATCTTCGACCAATTTGACAACATGATTCGCCTGGAAGCCAGAGGGGTGGCTCAAGTGCTTGACGTCACAACCCTGGATGTAGATATCCTAACACAAGCCCTAAAGGACATCCTGGATGAAAATCAACCATACCAGAAGAACATGCGCAGAATGTCAAGCCTACATCGTGACACTCCGCTCAAGCCAATGGACAGTGCCATCTTTTGGCTGGAGTTTGTCATGAGGCATAAAGGTGCGGCACACTTGCGCACCGAGTCCTACAGGCTTCCTTGGTATTCCTACTACTGCGTGGACTTTTTAATGCTGATAGTGAGTTTGTTTACGGCAGTCTGCCTGCTCTTGGTTTTGATGAGCAAGGCTTTGCTGAAAGTTTTTGTCAAGAAAAGGAAACCTAAAAAAGACTGAAGACATGTCTTTGGCAACACTAGTTTTTTTTATATTGGTTGATATCATTAATGGTGCTCTAAGCATCCCTTTCAATGTGGAAAGGTTTGATTAGTTGCATGTTAGCCCCTGCTGGTAGATGTTGTAACTATTCCATCTGCTTAAATAAAAAATAAATCTTTCAAATTTTGCAAGCAACATTTAAGTCAAAATTCAAACAGTGTTGTTCAGAGTGATCAAACAAAGATGATCGGCTCAAAACCAGCAGAACTCCGCATAAGCAACTGCCACGTAGATAAATAAGATTCTAATCACGTAGATTATGCTAACGGATAACTTCAATATGATATTAAACCACATTCTAGATTTCTACAGAATTGCAATTTCAAAACAACTTTCCCAAACCCTCCCCCTATCTGCCATTGTTTGAAGAAAAAAAAAAACAGATAATCTTCTCAACTTTTGGTTTGAGAATGTTGCTAGGTCAGGCAATTCAAACAAACAGAGCAGTGTTTTGATGACGCCACAGAGCCAGTGTTTGCACTTTTTGGGAAAACGAATCTATGAATGGCTAACTTGAAATTTTACACACATCAGCTTTAAGGTTCATACAAATACATTTGGTCAATTAATGTGTTGCTAACAGGACATTTTTGTTTTAAAAAAGGAACTGCAACAGACTGTATTTTCTCAGTTTGTTTTATTGATTTGTACAGACTGAATGAACCAGCGGTCTATTTTGCACGTAAATATTTCACTTAACACAACCACTGGCATGGTCAACAAAAATAAAATTATTCAAAAATCAGAGTCATAATGCGACAGATGGCCGATGATGCCGAACGTCTCCTACATTTTGGAATGGTATTACTATATATGGTTACAACAGGTGAAACACTTGAGAGAGAGTAAAAAATAAAGTGCTCCGTCTTCATCTGTTCTACTGTGTCACTTTGAGAATACTCATCTCACCTCTCCAAAAAGTAGCAATTCCATTTCTTTCTCTATGAAAAACAAAGTATAAAAAAGGTTAGAAATGTCTAGATATCTCAAATCTACAGACCACAGCTCAATTGTCACTGTGTGATATTTAAGGGGATCAATGTCATATACATGCAAGATATAAAGACAAACACTTGAACACAATCAATAGAACATGTAACCTATATAATAGATACCAGTCTGTAACTTTGTTTAGTTCCATTAGGAAAACATTACAAAATGCTTTTCTTCCTTCTGTAATAATAATAGCAGTAATTGATCCACAGCTAACTTTACTAAACGTCTGTTCCACTCACCCCACAAGTCACCGATTTTCTTTCAATATTTCATTATATCTTAACAGATGGAGGAGAGAATGAATAAGAGAGAGAGAGATTAAAGAGAGAATTAATGTCTGGGAACAGCTTTGGTATTTTAAAAGTATAGCAAAAACATCAAGTCAGTCAAATTATACATCTTCCTGCGATTGCATGTTGCATTTTTCTTTCACTTCAGTCATGTTAAAACACAGGTCGGCACATTTTGTCATCTTTCCAGACTTGTTAGACAGACGTTACAGCAGATTATTTCAACATATAAACCCTGGCAGAGGCCGTTTCTCAGGACACATTTGCTTGAATTCAAATGAGTAGAAATTATAAATATATAGCACATTAAAATCTGCTATTAAGGAGCACCCCAAAATCATGAGTCAAGAAAAAAAGTTACGCTTCTGTTACGTGTACTGCCTTGTTCCAAGTGAGATTACATTTTAAACTAGTGATAACAGTACAGTACAAATCTTTTTTTACTAGAACTCTCAGAACTACCAAATAATTTTTTTTTTGGGATTGAACAAAAGTAGCCAATTCAATTAAATACTGCCGTCACATGCATTTCAACTTTACAAATGCATATCTCTGTATTATACCATTAGTGATGCAACTAACGCTCTGCCCAGAAATTCAACCAATAAAAAACAATGAAGATTAATTGCAGAGCTAAGTTGGTCCAAACATGGATATTAATAGGCCTATAGAGCCCAAATATCTTAATCTTTTTGGAAAATTCTGAACAAAGAGCACCTATTAAGTTGCGAATTCAAACAAGAGTGAACATTTGCCAACGTTATTAGGTTTTTTCCATAACTAAAAGAAAATTACAGGGACATGCATCAAAACACAAGCTGCAACAAAGCATATCATAAACCATTCTGAAAACCAATTCTCCATGCTTCAGAATCTCCAGATGTTGGTCTACGTCCCCTTGTGAATTTGCTAAAACGAAACCAATTGTGCAATAACTTCAGTGATGAAACAAATGGAGAATGTGTTCTCTTTAAAGTAGTCACAATTCCAAAGAGAAGTGCAATGGTGCAGTGTGCGATAAAGATTTTGAGATTCTGCTTATGCAAGTTTACATCCAGAAAAACTCAAACATGGATGGCTAGACGACATTGACGGGGGAATTATTCCATAATGAATTGAAGCATGTGATGTTTTAAAGGCAAATCAGTCAATTAAACCTTATGCAACCTGTCCTCTTTGTTAAACGTTGAGGCAAACATTTAATTTAACCAAGAGTATTTCACTAAGAGCAAATGGTTGGTGTTCAATCTCTCATCAGGGTCTCTCTGAATTTCCTCCACTTACCGAGTCAATCCCACCACTAGGAAAAGGGACCCTCCCTGCTCCCCGTCCCTGCACTGGCACCTCCTGCCACTAGATTCCTCAGCAACTTCCTCCTGCCAGCTTGGTAGTCTTCCTCATCCACATTCACCAGGAGCTTAATGGCCTCGTGGCCCACTGCCTGCTTCAGAGAGTCTGTGATGAAAACGCCCTTCAGGGCTTCCAAAAGTGAGCCGTTGATGTAGTCCCGCCAGAAGGCGTCCAGGTAGGTCAACTCTGAGAACTTGATGTCACATATAATGGAACCCAGGTCACGGGATTTGAGGATGGTGTTGGCCTGGTTGAACCGCTCAAACTGCCTCTCCAGCGCCTCCTGCTTGTTGGAGAAGACGTTTCCTTGTAGAGCCGACTCGTGCTGACAGTACTCCGCACGCACCCTCAGTCGTATGTCTGTGAGACAAGGAAGCAGGTTAAAAAAACAAAACAAAACAAAAACTTAAAAAAAAACAAAGTGGCTTTTATATCCATCTACAAATGACACACAGATTTCAGGAGTATTGCTTGTCAGTGTTCAATGCTCAAATGGCACATCCATGGAGAATATGATACATACCCAAAAATGGCAAGGTCTGGGTAATAAGTTTTAATATGATTGACTGGCTTAAAGAAACTTTCAACAATTTTAAGAGGTTGCCAAGAGGTTCGTTTTATTAGAGTCACTGGGTGTGCCACCAAGAAGCCCGAACCAAACGGGTTTTATCGTTGCATGAGCGTGTAAATAAAACAAAAAATTTTTATGGGTAAATTGCTTATGACCTATTCCAGTGCTCGACAATAAGGACTGCCCGGTGGCCATCGGGCCACTGCTGCGTCAACACGAAAGAGGAGAAGAGGAGAAAATGCTGGAGAAAATAAGAGGAGAAAATACTGTAGTGGGCAGAGCAAGATCACTGTTCACGATGCACAAAATATTGGAAGAATTTGTGGTGGGGGTTTATATGAATGCATCTCTAAGGGGAACTGTCTGTGAAAAGTTTACGTGGCGTTTTCTTTTCATCTTACCTTTGTATAAAGGCCTCGATATACTCAAAACAAAGTTCTTTTTCGTTCTTCGTTTATGGGTAAAACCAAGTTCGAAATTCGTGAGCAGCGGTATACTGTTATCGAACATTCCGACGCCACCCACTCTGATGAAAGCAACGTTTAAATGATTATGTAAATATGTGCTGCGCACTTTCCTCTCAGTAATAAAATAAACACAACAAAAATGGAGAGAACAGCAAGCATTTTTAAAAATAAATCATCGCATGTTCATAGCAACATGGGTATGTTTGCACGAGCTCTGCAAATAAGCACTCCCGTGAAGTCGCGTCACGTGTATTTACATGGCACTTTATTCAATATATAGCTTAAAAGCAAGCAGCAGTGTCAGTGTCTCATTTCATCAAAAGCAAAACTTAATTTGCTACTATAAAGCAGCTCTACACTGTTCAGTTTTTACCCGCGGACCAGTTTTTTTCAGAATTTGCGTTCTCATTCAGCCCGTCTGCTGTTCTTCCTAAAGCATCATTTCATTTGTGTCTTTGTTCTATATATTCCATTGTGCTATTGCTTGTAATTTGTTCTTATTTACTGACTGTTCACTTGTCTTTAATAATATTTGTACTTTATATTTGTTAGGCAAGTAGTTTTTGCTGTGGAAATTAGAATTGAGAATTGTAAAATTTAATTGGTATCTAAAATTTTGGTGTCATATAAGCGTATTTATTAGAATAAAAGATAGCATGGGTCAAAAACAATGATAACAGCAACTATTTTAATTTTTTGTGGCAGGGCCAGTGAAAATATTGGCAGGGCAAGTAAAACTTTGAACAATCGTTAGCATTGAGCCCTGCATTCCATGGAGTTAAACCTTCTCTTTCAGCAACTTGTGCGTGCATTTTTTTTTTTTAAATGTTCTTCAGCAGATTTGTTGTCTTACCACAGGTCTGTTTTTCTCTGCAGTCAGCTGTCGTGTGAGATCTCTTCCTTTTCCTGTTCGGTGGAGGTGGGGTGGGTTTAGCACGTGGTGGGCACACCTGGGGTCCTGATGGAGGACAGCAGATCAATGGCTGGGGTCCTGAGAAACAGGAAATTAAAATCACTACCACGATGTCTGTCTCGCTTGTAGTACATGCATTTTCACTGATCATGATTAGGTTGGTATACACTATGTAGCTTTTTCCTCAAGTTGCCAAATTCAACAGATTTCACAGAAAAACATACAATTAATGATGAGCACAGACTCTGATTTTTTAGCTTCAGACTACAATTCCATACAGTCCGAGCATATCCAACATGTTTAATATTCTGACTAGTGGTCGACCGATATATCGCCATGGCCGATATTTGGTATCTTTCAAATATCGGCATCGGCCGATAAGTTTTTCTGTTTGGCCAATGCGTTCGAGGCGGGACTTTTATTTTGACAGCGCTGAAACCGGCAGCGCCTCTGCCTGAGCACACAGTGCTCACATTCTCCCTCTTGTTTGCTGTCGTCGTTAACAGTTATGTCTAATACGGATAGAAGTCTGTCTAATAATCCAATAGAACTGTTAAACAATGGAATTAAAATATATACAAAAAGTATTATAACGATTGCTTTTATATTATTAGTAATAGAAAGGCAAACATTATAATACTTTCTCGTTTGCCGTCAGCATTCAGCAAATAGGCTACGCATTTACATCATTTAAAGGGGTCATATGATGCTTTTTTAAAGATCATTATTTTGTGTATTTGGTGTAACAGAATATGTTGACATGCTTTAATGTTCAAAAAACACATTATTTTTCAAATACTGTACAT